ATTCCATTACTTTTTAAGAGTAATTTACCCAACACTGCCTATCGGCTACCTATTATGTTTTTACTTACGTACCTACCACTGTGGCACTGACAAAATAAGTGACGGCTTCATAGTGACCTGACAAATGAAATGTTCATCATACTCAGGCAGATATAGCTGGTAAACCTATTGTGTTATAGGCATCGTTCATTTTATTGAATCAAAACCAAGACATGCATACTTGGTGCATATTCAATAAATATTTTTAACATTCATGCATGCATGCTTATATAATTTAAATACCTATAGTGAAAACAGATTTTTATTAAATATTACACTATGAAAATGTTTAATATTTTTGGTACTGATTAATGCATAGGTAGCCCATTATTACTGCCAAAAACGAAAAAAGTTTGATTCCCGTTTCCACCTAAATGTATTTTTGAAAAAAAAATGTTTTGGCCCAACGCCCAACATTGTTTGATACTTGAGACAGTTCAGAGCTATATGTAATACCTAGCTATTACAGTGAAGTGCAAATGTAACAACCACTAGAGTATAGGTACTAACGCAGGAACAATAGTATTTAGTTATATAATTGCACATCATTAATATCAGACATTATTATTTTCTTAATAAATAACAATACGATAAAAAAAACATCAGGTATACCTACCTTGATATGTAACGCTAAGCTATTAGATTTAAGTATTTTTAGGTAGAATATAAATTGTTATAATAAATAGGTAAAATAAGTATATATACTTACCGTTACCTACCGTTCATTATAGTATTATAAAGTGGATAACCGTTCTAATTCATAGTAAGTACTCATACCTACATACATAGATGTCGAGACATCGAGTGTACCTCGTCATTAAGTAAGTCACTGTTATATAGGCACCTATCTACGTGTTAAGTATTGTTTATTAAGTAAAAAAGTAAAATTTAACATTAATAATAAATTTGTTTACAATTTTGTAATTTTTATTGGCGATGCTTTCCACCCTCCTAATCTAGAATCCTGGCTATGCCACCGATCAATTAATGTAGTTTTTACATTATAATACCTAGGTGTATTTTTTAGGTTTATTTGTTTACCTACTTTTTATGATTGACTACAATTCAATTACAATACATTCCAACATAATATTTATTACCAGTTGCTAATTTAAGTTAATATGAATAGTTTATAACATTATTACAATGGAGTAAACTATTTAACTAATTAATTTCAACGTTTTCTTTAACCAAATTCATATAAACATTTTTATGTAGCATATTTTAATGATAATAAGCACATAATATTAATTTTTAAATAATTTCCAACACAAAGCTGAGTGCCTGTGTTTATAAAATAGGTATACAATAAAAAAAGGCCTCGCTGAGTTTTAAGCTTGTGTGGAGGCCTAAGAGTTATCTTATGTATAATGTTTACATTTTTCTTATTTTTACCTTATATACTAAAATACACAATATAATATAAATTCAGAAATTCAATATTATGAATTTAAACGGCAAAAATTATCAAACAAGTCACCTATATGAAAAACAAAATAGAAAATGGAAGTGTACATTGCAAATTAATTAATCATGATATTTAAAGATTGAAGCATGGTACATATTATTAATATTATTTACATACATCATATACTTACCTATATCTATCCAATTGGCGGATATGCTTTGAGAAGACAATTAATGCTTGTGGCGAGTAAATATACCTGCTCTATAATATTATTACAGAAACAACAGTCAAAACAATCGTTTTTACATCATCAATATAATATGAAAGCAGCACGATGACAGATCTCACATTCTTAAAGATTATTTTCTCTCTGTAGCCAGCCCAGAACCACGCTTTAGATATCTTAACTTAAACATATTGTTACGGATGTACCTTTGTTAGTTAATTTTTTTGAAATGTAGTTTGTACATTTGTGATCTTGTAATTGCAGGGCTTCTACGTCCTATATATTTATAATAAATTTTTATTTTACAAATACTTCAAATAAAAATATTACTTAGAAGTAACCAAACCTTGTGTAATACTCAAACGACAATATTATTTGAGACAATTTAATTAAGTAAGGGGTAAGATTTACGGTTTACTGTTTAATTATTAGCGTAAAATTTTTCAGATTTTCTTAATTTCCTGAATATTTTAGTATTTTACAATGTATTGAACATTTTTTACTTTTTACTCCCTCTTCCACTAAGTACCAACTATATTCCAATTTTTTAACAGAAGCCACCCTCAACATTGAAAATTGAACAAAAATGGTATTTTTTACAAAGTTTTGAAATTAGAGTAATAATATAATTCATTTTTTTTTTAAATTTGAATCTTAAATCAATTAAGTAGAGTTATAGATGGACTGTTAAAAATATATTCTGATTGGAACATTTAATGATGGTGAAGTATTTCCAATATATTTTAATATATCTATTAATAGTAGTAATTGGACAACAATTTTTCAAGAATTGATCTACAGTTAATGAAAGGCATCAATGCTGTCTCAAAATTTTGAAAAGGAATTCTTTGCAGCATACAATATTTTGAAAACAAATTCATTGGGATTTGACATTTGGTCAAACTACTTTGCGATTTTAGGTTTATCAGTGTAGATTCTGGTTTCTCTGAATAAGATGCTTTGATGTTTTACCTAAAAAAGTAGATTAGTTTATCAAACAATTGACATTGTTATTTTATATTACTTAAGTACTAGAAACTTCAATAGTTTATTTTAATAAAATGTATATTGACTGTAGACATAATGCTTATTACTGCAGTCCTGCAAACATCACAAGTAAGAGTTTTCGTGCTTTGTATTTAAACACATTTTTACTATAACACAATCTTTTGTTTCGGTTGTAAAATAATTGTGAATCAATTCATCAAAAACATTGTAATTTTTTGTCTTTAGCAATTAGGGTAGCTAATAAATAGAATTCAGGAAAAAAATGACAGTCAATTATCAAGTTATCAAATTAAAATATAAAAATTATCAAAAGGTTAATAATAATAATTTATCACAAATATTATACCTATTGTAGGTAGGTACTTTACAACGCTATAGCTGATAAAAATTTGTTTTGTAATATTGTAATTAAATATTGTTAATTAAAAATCACAAATATTAGTTGAAGGTCAATAGTTGTACATAAAAAAAATATATATACATAGATAAGTAAATATTAGTAAAAATAAATCACAGATATACTATAATACATGCTATTGATATTGAAAAATTTAGTATATCTCTTTCCTCACTTAAATATTCCTTATATATTCTGAGTTAATTCAGTAATTCTGCATATATTTTTGTTTTATTTTTTTTCTTAAAGGAAAGTAGGTACCCAATGAATTTTGTGTTGATTTAGTTTCGTATTCGACAAGTCCAAAAAGTTTACTGTTATTAATACCCACATGGAAGAATGGCAATGGCCCACTAACTTTAAGAATTCCTCTTTTTTGTTATTAGTCAGACTACCATCATTTAGTGTAACATTATGAACATTCAAAATGTGGGGTGGATATAGAAGCATTATCAAAATATTTCAAAATTAGTGATCCATTTTCAGGGATTCTGCTTTCAAATGCATCATTATCAGATCACCAGTTACATCAAATTTAACATATCCTTTTAATATAACTGTACATTTACCGTGTGCAAAATCAATTATATTGTTCTACCTATGCTCCTGCCATGTGCCGATTAATTATATTCTTTAAAATGTATAAACCATAATTATTTTTCTCTTGTGAAACTTTCACTATTAAGAAGAAAACTTTTTGAACAATATGTAAAATACAAAACACATGACTGCCTTAAAACTCAATCTCATTATTTAATTATTATTACTTAAAATGTCACCTCTATTTTCTTATTCATACAGATATTATTATTTTTTGTTATATTTTTGTCATTAACTAAATTGTTTAAGGCCTATAAGTTCTACCGACTTGTCCTTTAGGATATCAAACATTGCGGCTTATAGGTAATTACTTATAATGAAAGTAAATCTTAAAAAGACTGAAATCCCACATAACTGACCTATTACTACAGTTTAGTTTATACATTTTAACTGGTATAAGGTGTGAGTTATTCAATTTTATTAAACTGAATTGTTAAATTGTATAGTGTTTATATTTATGCGTAGGTACCCATCAGATAACTTTATACACTGTAAATAAATGAAAAGTATAATGAGCCACGTAGTAAGCTCAAACTTCTTTTTAATTTAAAAACTTACAGTATATTACAAAAAAATGGTCAGTTGGTCATACGAATAGAATTTTAACTGCATTGTCTCTAAATTGAGTGGATATATTGAACAACTTCTTGCATATGAACTTATTAAAGAGAACCACAGTTGAATCTAAAAATAAAAAATGTATTAATTAGTGTTCTTTTTTTAATTTCGTTTAATTTCTGCACTTAACAAAATTTACCCAATATGTATTTGTATACTTTAGTTAAAATCATTAAATTTGATTTACTTTACATCAAATATTTAGACAAAACAATAAATTATTTCTATTATAAATTAATAGCTCATGCTACTTTGGACAATTTGTCTAATATATGGATTAGTTTAATGAGTGTTAAGCTCAAATCATCTGTGATTATTGTGTTTTATTATAATTTTAAGCACCAAATATACATAAACTAAAATTATAACTATTATGAGAAATACCTTTTTACTCTAATAAAATATAAATTATTAAGTAACAAAATTTGTCATAATATGCTTATTGAGAAAAAAATCAAAAATAGATTGGTAGATAAACTATATATTTTATTGCATTATAATTTATTAAGTGCTAGCTTAACTATTAAAATTGAAACAAAATTATAAAAATGATCATATTAGTATCTCAATAGTTAATAATTATTATAATACTATATATTCTTTTTAGTTATTTTATTCAAAAAAAATATGACTTTTAATGATTAGTATACAATACAATTTATAAATTCTCATACAGATCTGTTTATGTAAAATAAAATAAATTGTTATTGTTATTAATAACTAATAGGCAAGTAAATGAAAAAATGTTACACATGAAAAAAAACAGTTTTAAAACACTGTTTAAAAACTAGCTCGAGAAGTTTATATACAAAACAACAAATTAATAGGTTTCCGTGGGCCACATTAAGAATTCGGAAAATTCTTGCGGGCTATAAAAACGTAAAGTACATAATATTTATTATAATATGCCGATTGGCCAAAAGTAATGTACAAAGATAAGAAATTATCAGCTTGTTTTCTCCTTGTCTGCGGGCCAGTTAAAATTCATCCACGGGCCGGATGTGGCCCGAGGGCCACCATTTGGCGATCCCTGGTGTATATTATAGTAAAATGACAGTTTTTGTGTGGCATAAAATAAGAAAATGTTTAGTATTTGTAAAATGTAAATATGTATTATTTTTAATTATTATATTTACTATAAAAAAAATTAGGTAAAATTATTTTTATTATTTTAAGTAGGTATATTATTATTTTACTCAATTATTCTTATTCGCTGCATAATTTTGTACCTAAGAGACTATTGCAAAAAAACTGGATTTGAATTTGATTATAAGTGTACTTATCTAATAGATTAAACTAAACAATTGTCTTGAGACTATTCAACAAATAGTAATTCTTGTAAAGCATTGACAGTTTGTGGATTTATTTGGAACACCTTTTAGTTATCAATTATTTTTTCTTTTCCTTTTCTTGAAGTAAGTTCTCTTCCAACCAACTAGTTTTTAGATCCTGGAAAAATAATTAATGCAAATTAATATTATAGGTAATCAAAGAAGTTCTAAAATAGATTGTACTTCGATCCTTGCATTGACAATTAATGTTTTCATGCTGCTTCAATGTGGATGGTCTTCAGATAAACGACAAATAAATAAGAACACAGTGCCGCCATGTAAGTAGGTACGCTGTAAACATAGTAATGGTTACAAATAGTTCTATTTTAATTCAGTAATGGGGACTAAGGTCAAGCAGTTTGGTACACCTATAGTAGTCTATAAAATCTACAGCCCACGGAGCTATTTCTTACTAAGTCATTCTCAATCGGATTCCTGTCAGTAGATAGCAGATGTACATCAGCAAGATAGAACTTGAGGAACCAGTTTCTCTTTGAAATTGCTGAAACGGCGATTGAAATCTGTTGAAACAATGATAAAATATTAATATGCATATTTTGAACAATTATTAAATTCGAACTACAATTTAGCAGTAAACCGAACAGATTATAAGATAAAAGTCGCAATATACTTATTGTTCAATGAGCAGCGTCGTTGTTGACATTGGCTAAGATCTACCAATATGGTCACATTGATTACTGAATATTTTTTAATTAATAACTACATTAACGATCCAGGATCCTTAGAGACATTGGACGAGAATCAAGATTCGAGAATCGAGAGAGCTTTCCGTGCTTGTACTGTTTATAGGGAACTTTACTGTTATCACTTGTCTGTTATCGACTTATCGTCACAAAAACTGTGGTCGGCAGCAGTTGTTCTCGAAATCATTATAAATACATCGACTGTCGATTACGGCACCAAAATATTGTCTATTTTTTTTTATCTGTCCTCCGTGTTATCATACATTTAATTATACGATATCACGTAAATACGTGAAACATAATAACAAAACTACAAAATGCGAATGCTTGTTGAGAAAATTATTGGTTCTTTTAAAAAAGCTCATGGGTTTTTAACAGTATTTAAATTTCTAAGCAATAAATATGTCGAAGATTGTGTAAACTATATGTATAGGAATTCCAAAAATCGCCGGACCTGCAATATATCTATATTTTAATCGTTGACCGTCGATTCAATTGTAAATTATTACAATTTAAAAATTCTCAAATCACTTAATAATTATATCAGAAAAAAAAGCCGTAAGAAATTGGAACAGCAGAACACAAATTTGCTATGTGTGGAACAACGAAAAAACATGCAGATGTAGCGTCCTACAAACAATTACATAATATTATCTTTAATGAAAAGGTATGATAATTAATTTTACATTAAAAAAAGTAACTCATTTTTTACTAAGTTAATTTTTTTTCAAATTAACTAATACCTTTTTTCTTTTAACGAGTTAAATAAAAAAGAAAAGTAACTTTTAACTTTTACTTAACTTAAATTTATCTATATTAACTTAACTTAACAAATTAAAAAAATTAATGCTCAGCGTTGGACAATACTACTAATACAAATATATAATCAAACAATATAATTACAAATAGTCAAGATTTAAATGAATTTCTATTCTATTAAATCAAAATCTTTCTAACTGTGTCTATGTACAAGATAAATGGTCGGAATAATGCTTTGATTTTCAACTTCAGTATCTTTTCGGAAAGTAAAGAGAATTAAGTTGGTGCATTTCCCAGGACGTCTAAGTTTAAAATCTCGAAAATGTTATAGGAAAATATCTTATAATAATTTATTATATAATTAATATTATTAATATTTATAATTTGTACATTTTCAATTTAATAAATGTTGTAGGATAAACAAATTGTTAAGGTTTTTGACATGACAAACAAAAATGTATTGACATTTATAGAGAAATAACAAAAAACATTGGAAATTGAAAAGTCTGTAATTAGCATAAAATGAGTTAGCAACCACCTAACAAGATTTTACAATTATTTACTTAATATTCTGTTATTTTTTGTTGAAATATCCGATTTTGTCAATATTTGAACTTATGAAGATCATAAAAAATATATGTCACTAGACTTTTTATAACTATTTCAAGTAAAACTCATGTAGAACTTTGTATTACATTTTAGTCCAGAAAATGGAGAGTTTACCTCGCAAAAAATACTCAACTTTTTAATCCTTCTTCGTCTTTTATCAATTCAAGAACCTCAGGAATTTGAAACTTTGGATTTTATGTGAAATTTTATAGTTTTGTCATTAATAATTTTCAATAATATTAACTTTAAGGTAAAAATAGATATTTACTTCAAATCATAAGATTGACAATAAACAAGTTCATATTAGTCAAACATTTTTATCGTAAGTGCAATAGCACTAATAGCAATTAGCCTAACCTATAAGCAATTTCTACCTTTGACACATAAAAAATAAACCGAAAAATAACATTAATTATTTATGAGCGTTTGAATAAGAAAATTGCACGATATTGGATTTTTTCTGGGAAATCAACTAATTTCCATATGTTGTTTTTCATATGCAATTTTGAATTCAAAGATAAAACATCCATAACAATGACATGCTTGACAACTACTGTTCAACAGAGCGGTACCCACTTGTTCACATTCTTCAAAAAATTGAATTAGTTCTTTTACATCCATACCTACACAAATTAACTAAATAAATCATTATATTTATCGCATTTTTAATATGATTGCAAAGTAAATTTTTAAACTATTTTTTGGTTAATATTAAACAAAAATCTTACATATTATAGTATTATACATATTATCTTACATATCATATTATGAAAACACTGTCGTCCTCTTACCGGGTGGCTAGGCATTGGACTTCTAGAAGGAAAGTTGTAGGTTAAATTAATAACCGCAGTGGTCGAGGGCCAAACGATTTCGACTCAAAGCTCTGAGCTTTCGGTGTTAGCGAAAAACCAATTATGCAGGGCCTATAGCAACTTCAATTCTGGATCTCCATTCACTGGACTAATTGAAAATTAAAATTAATTTATATTAAATAAATTTTTAACTACAAAATATCCAAATATACAGTCTTCTTTTAAATGTTTATAAAAATTACTATGACATTTTTAAACATCTAATTTCCAATTTTAAAAATTTACGAGGAATCTTTTATCAAATAATCTAACAATTATAATTTTGAAAAATCGTATACAGACCTACAAGGAATATGAAATGTTATTTGTTTTGAAACATATTACTCTCGATGACGGGGTCAGTTAAATATCAATAACGGATAAGCACAAATACTATGATGTCACATTACCTATGGATAAGACTGACGGTTCATAACTACAGATGACAGGATGTCTGTATTATATTGTCTATAGCAGTTTCTTAAATTTTTTTATCCGAGGAACTCTTTTTTTATGTACACCTTTATTGTGGAAAGCTTACTTTTTCTTAGTTTTTTAGCTTTTTTTATTTAGTTTTCAACGATAAGTTATTACAGCTAAGCAATTAAAACCCTAGTCTTAATTTGTCATTTTGTGTAAGGATTATTTGCAATACAAATTATAATAATTGTATATAATAATAATGTGTATACTGTATTAAGTAAAAAAATATTTTAAATATACTAAAAAATAAAAATAGTATAAAATAATAAAAACAGTTTACTGAAATGAATGAAATTGCTTTTAATATTACAAATATTCTAAATATTGGGCTTTATTGATGAAAGTTGTATTATCATATTAGATTCAGCATCAAGTTGGTAAGTATTTTGTTTTTGTTGATACATTTTCATCAATGACGTTCGAATATTATTTCTATATATTGAATGCACTAATAGTGTAGTTAGTGGAAATTAAATTTAAAAAAAGTTGAACGACAATTAACAAAAATTGTTATGAGCATTTGAATTTGACAAAATTTGTAAAAATCACAAAAATTTGCAAATTATTTTGAGTTAGAAATTCATAAAAAAATGTTCTTTTCATACATGAGATATATATAAGATTCCTTATAAGTTTGTCTACATTTATCAAAAAAAAAATTTTTAACAGGGAGTCAAAATTAAATTTTTATTTAAAGTTGAAATTCTTACAACATTGGATAATCATTCGACTTCTCATGTAGCGATTTTCTTATTTTGTTGTAATTCAAAAAGGGATTATTGAAGATTCATGAAATTATAACTGAGTGTTTGTATTATCATGTTCCATACACTATACAATTTTCAACATATTTTGACTTGTTTTGAGCCGTTTGTGGACATTTTCAATTTTCAAGTTTTTTAGATTTTTTTTAGAAATGTCAATAAAATCTTATTTGTTTTGTCAAAAAGCTTGAACAATAGAGAATAATACAAGGCTCTTGACATATTGTTACAATATCAGTTGAAGAATATTAAAAATATATAGGTATAATTTTGTTTTATAAGTTTTTTAAGTTTACATTTATCAAATTGAAAGCGTACAAATTATTATAATATAATTGGACCAAATTGCACACAATTAGTCATTCTGTTACCATAAAGTCTAATAAAATGTGTAAACAAAGTTTTTTATTGCAGTAATTTGATGATTTGGATGGATAACTAAGAATAATAATTTAAGTTATTTATTGTAATTTAAAAATATTATTGGTGGGTACCCACTTGAAACTTTTAAAGTATGTTAGTATATTTTGTACACATAATGACTTTTCAAATCAAATTTTTTGGCATAAATGAATTTATGCTCCTATTTTACTAATGCTTAATAGTAAGATAAATTACTTTAACGCTTGAGTTACAATTTTAAAAAAGAATGTAAGTATTAACTAGTAATTATTGTATTTAAGTAAACACTAGTTGTCAAAAATGTTGTTGTTATGGTACTATCGCACATATAAGTATTTATCAGAAGAGTGAATTTAGATTTTCAATTAAAGTAAGAACAGAACATTCAAGAACTTTAGTAAACATACTTTGAAAAGTTAAAGCTTTAGTTTTTTTCTTTCAGCGTACAACTATTATAGTTTGACAATTACAATTAATACAGATGGTGTACATAAAATCAAGTAAATTAACTATAGTTAATTATATACAGTTAACAGTTATACAATTAAATATAATAATTATAATATTTAAAAGATAAGGATAAAAACGTAGCAAGACTAACAATAAAAGCTCAAGTTATAACTTTACAATTTAAATATATTTGATTAAGCTTACTTTATCGTACTCTATTTTCATCCAAATGTTGATTCCACACACATTTAAACCCAATTTACTTTTACAATCATCAATTCATCTGTTTTAGAAAATAGTAATTTTGTGCTTTATAAAAATGATTTAAACATTAAACATGAATTTTGTACTATGTTAAACAAATGGAAAATATTTCCTTTTTTTGGGCTGATAAAGCTGATATTTTGTATTTCAAATATTCCGTTTGCATTATCATCATGGCTAAAATTAAAATCATTTTCAGTGAATAATTTGCATGTTAAATGTAAAAATAAAATAAACTTTATTTATTCATTTGTCAAACATAAAAGGTACAGAGCGAGCACATTTATACCAACCCTACTCTTGAAATACTATTTTGGACTTGGGATAATTATGATTAGCAAAATGTATGGACTTACAAAAAACAACGACTAGAATTGTGTATTTTCAGAATACTTAGAATATTACATTGATCCGGATATTTGGTAATTGTAATAAATTCATACAGATATTTGAATATTTTACTTCAGGACAGCATTTTTATACATAACAATTAATTTACATAGTTTATATAATATAGTTGCGTTACATTTATTTTTCTAAATAAAAAACAATTTGTTGATTGGTTAGCTAACAACATTTGTGTGAGAAAATAATAATTATTATAATACCTAATTCAAATTTTAGACTACCGTGAAATATACTGGGTCTATTTGCATTGGAAAGAACAATTTGCATTAATCATGAGAACTATTTTGCAATTTACAACAATTCAAATTTGTAGGAGATAATCTTCCAGGCAGCATACAACCAGTACGTTTTTTTGATAAATAGACGACATTTGTGATTTTTTCATAGGACTTCAAGTCACAACTGTGAAAAAAAATTTATTTTAGATAATTATTAATATTTAACAGTTATTTAATTTCTAATAATTGTCTTTCTGGTTTTTGTTGAGTTCAAGAATATAATGTTCAAGACAAAAAGTTCAATTTAATTTTAAGTTTGTAATTTAATTTAAAAATGATTAGTTTAAATACAAGTTCTAGGCCTTAAACCCAAATACCCAATATTTAGAGCACCTTATATCCTTGTAGTGTCAGTCCGTCTTTTAGTTACCACTACATAGTTATAATATTGTAATGTATTGTTGATTTTTATTTATTTATTGTCGGTAGTTACTGCACATAAATTGTATATGGAATTATAATGTTGTCTGCGCCGCGCCGCACCAACTTTTAAAAAATCGCGGTTTGCGGCAACGACTAGCGGGATGGTGTGGACAGGAAGAGGTTACCCAGCTATATTATATAAGGCCTAATACAGAATTATGCAATATGCATTTTCAATGGGCGCAATGCGCAATAAGTATATTTTACAGTAAGACAATACTAAATATAATTTATCGTAAAACGCCCGGGCAATATACGCGCTACAATTACAATACTGACAATATTAATTAATAATGACAACTGTCAACATAATATGAGGTTGTCTACATAAATCCACTTAAATAGTAACCAATAGACCTGGTCTGCAAGCTCCGGAGAACGTCGCGGCGCTGGATGGCCGAGGAGGGGGTAAGCCACCTCGTGAGCTTCGGCATTCGAGGCGCAGCTTTGGGGACTACGCCGAAACTATACGGTGGCGTGAAAACGCGTCCGTGTTCGAACAAATGTATTGTGTTAGATTAAATACGTTATTATTAAGGACTGGGAATTTGGCATGCTCGCAGAGTAAGCTTTCCTAACCTGTTTAATAATAAAAAGCTGTAGTAAATATAGAAACTAAAATAAAATTACATACCAATCATTATATTGGGATAGTTTTATGTTTCAATTGCTCTATTTTTGAAAGTTACTTTATTCATATGCTATACTTCTTTACTTCTTTGTGTCGTCCAGTAGAATCAATCTATAATCTAGTAAATAAAATATATGGTTAATTCAATGTTTGAATTATGTACATTATGGAACATGAAAAATAAATAAATTTAGTTTTTAAAATTAATGTTATAATGATCAAATTAAATTACTGATTAAAAATTAGGTCGTTTATGTCATATTTTGCACACTCTCATCAAATTTCTAAGCACAATAATTTAAGCAACCATATATATCAGTATTATTTTGAGGAATGGAAATCTTTTTTGTCTTGCTCCATAGGATTGCAAATTCCAACTGTAGAAAAAAATATATAAATGGTAGAAAAATTGGTTACTCGGGTAGATCAGGTTGAAACCGCACGTGGGCGAAGCCGAGTTATTCAACTAGTGCACACTAATTAACTATATATGGAATATCAAGCACACCTACGAGTCATACTATACATTATTGAAGTTAGGATAATAGTTATTCTACTATAAATCTTTATTTTTGGAAAAAAGCATGGATCATGAGTCATGACACTTGACATCTATTAATTATAATAATTTTTTTGAATAAGTATTCTCATTCAGACAAGTTCTCTGTCAACAATTTCAAGGGAATATCTAACAGTAGGTAGGAAAAGTAGGAATGAGCTTTAGGAAGTTCCTAACAAGAACAGTTTAAATATAAGATCTAGAGCATGTGGAAGACCATTTTGAGCTACAAGACATTGCGATTTATTGTATTGTTTAATTAGTAAAGACAGGATAGTATCAAATTAATTTTCTTTCAAAACACAGACAAGAAGTGAAAAAATTCAAATATTTTTTTTTCAAAATTAAAATTAGACCTCCGGAAGTATATTTGTTCTTTCAGTTAAAAACAACCAGCTTTTACAGCCTTAATAAATTAATATAAGACATTTATAATGTCATAATTGCATCAGTAGCCATATTAGTTTACTCTCTTATAGTCGTATCCTGATAATCCATATAACGCTCTTATTTGAAAAAAATTAATTATATCTTCATGATATATATAACCTATTAAGGCATTGATTATAAATACTATTTATAGTATTACAGTAAACTTTAAAGTACAAATAGCAATGAGTGAGTGATAGTGATATAGATTAAAAAATTTGTTGTTAAATAATGTGTTTAAAATGTTCAATATAAACTATTTTACTATGTAAAGTGAAATAAAACAATTTAATATGGTATGGAAAGGGGATTGTTAGAGGAGGGATCCTCCCTTATACTTACCTCACAACTTATCTCTTTTTTATAAATTTTTTTAATTGCTCAACAGATTTATTAGGTACCTATCACTTGCCTGATTTTTATAAGGAAAATAATACTGTGAAAAATCTCTAATCTCTTCAAAAAAATTACTTATTACTCTTAGGTACTTTGGGAAAGGATTATTATGGAGGATAAAATGTATTATATTGTTATAGTAACAATAAAAAAAAAATCTGCTCATTTATTTCCCAAGGTTATTTTAATTTAAATTAAATAACAAAATACTAAATAAAGAAACGAATGAAAGATGACACGTGCGTCTATAATATAATATGTATAATAATATATAATACTATACATAATATTATAATTATGAAAATATGAAAACTGTAATGGTGTTCCACACCACTACAATATATTATATTATATATTTATATATATAACGATAGTCGATACATTAATATAATTATATAACATGTGGCATAAGACTTAATTTGTATACAAGATTCTTCATAAGTTTTTTACATAAAATAGACATTTGTATAAATACTTGTAAATTTGGACTAAAGAATATTAATATTTCTTTACATTTTCAAGTAAAATATAATTTGCAAATATTCGAGTTTCTGATGAATTAAAAAAAAAACAAAATGTTTATAAAGAAAACAAGTTAGGAAAACTCACTCAGTGAGTGTACTTACTAAATTCCTGGTTTCCAAACATATTTCAAATACAAATCTACAACCTGTAATTCTAAATATAATTTAAAAATAATTGTACAACCTTAATATTGTGACTGAATTTTCTATAGGCTTTTAAATTCAATACAAGGTTGAAGGTTCTTCAAAAGTAGGTACTTGATACTTATTAAAACTCGAAAATCTTTAAAATATATAACCACAATTTCATGCAATATTATCGATGCACTATAAGAATTTGGACATTATAATTGATTTTTTTTTCAAATTACATTTATTTAGGTAATACTGCAGATAGTTAATTTAAATGTTTGCCCAATAGTTAGATATAGGTAGGTACCTACCTATATACATTTCGATTTGTCTTAAGATGCATTTTTGTAATGAGTTAAAAACGTTAGTATACATACATTTAAAGAATGGAAACGGTTTAAAATAAATTATAAAAGGTAAATAATAAAATTAATTAAACGGTTATGATCTTTTGACTTATGATTTACTAATATATTATGATAGTAAGTTTATTTGTTATTTGACTCATCGCTTTTATTACTAAGGCTTAAGATAATAATATTGTGTTGTATTTTTCAAAAAATGTCAAAGGTGTGGGAAGTGAGAACAAAAGTTTATGAAAGAGTATGTTGTCAGAAATAGAAATAATATTTATAAATTAACATTTCTTACCTTTATGAAGATTGCAGTAAGAATCAGTTGTCAGCCTTTATATTTAGGCACCTGCCTACCTACCTAAATTGTGAATTGTTTAAGATCAGAAAGAAATAATAATACAAAACATGAAAATGTAAATTTTATAAAAAGGTAGAGTACCTATTGTCAAGCTTCGAAGCCAACTTAAAAATATTAAACACTGATGTAATATGTACCCATTGTACCTACTTACAGTAGGTGCCTAGTTTTAACTAAGTACGTTTTTATTGTGTGAAATGGACTCATATAAATGTTATTCCAATTTTAGTTTTCTTAAATACCTACATTATATAATTGATGAAATAGGTACCTAAGTATGTAGGTTTCTACCTACATATTATATCATATATGTATTCATTTCACCATATTTGCCTATTAAAATAATAACTTTAGTGTTACTTATATTTATTTACTAAGGTTAAATTAAATTTTCTTAAATCTTAATGTGATTTAGATGATGAAATAATTAGGTAATATATAATTTACAATATATTCTATTATTATAATTCATATAAGAAATAAGTTATTTTTATAGTAAGTGATAATGTGATATGATGAATCAAGTTTATAATCCCTTATACAGTTTGACAATTCAGTTATACTTGATAGTTTTATAAAGTAATACATTCATTAATTAATTAGGTAAATAAACATTAATGTCTTCAAAAAATTCAACTAAAAAATAATTTTATTTCAGTTAATTATCCTCAATTGAATATTTTATATTTTAGTCTTATAAATGAAATATTTAATGAATCGTACCCATTTTTACAGAATTATTGATTTAAACAGACTAATGAAAAAGTATAATTTTATTTTTGTTTGAAAATTATAGTAATGGCCATCATTATACTGTCTTATTTTCTTAATTACTCTCATACAACACATTTTTTTTTGGAGATTCCAGATTGTTTGTGAAAACATATTCGATTTATTTAATCTCCGCCTTTTCTAGTTAACCGATCTTCATCTATTCTATACTTGCACTGACAACAAGATGGCATTTTAAAAGTATCATAGTAGAATTCATTTGAACCACTTATGGTTATCAATCTTTTGTAGAGGTATTTTTGTATACATGTTGAAACGTATCCTGTTGGTAAAGTACCATCAAACATGCACGGAACTCTAACATCGCTGCAAATGTATTCAATTAATTTAAAATCTAGAAAATTTCTCATTTGATACTTACACGCATTTTTCCACTACAATTCCTTGTTTAATACTGCTATTGTCAGTTGATGAATCTTGCACAATATAACGCCATTGGTTGTATGATGTAAGACCTACTTCTGGATATATTACTGATACCTAGAAAATATTTTTAGTTAAATAAAAATGTAATTTTGAGTTTTACAGTAGGTAATTTTATATTATTATTATAATAGTACTAGTTACAGTGCCTCCATTTGTCTACCCTATGTGACAGGAGGGAACAGGCTAATCTTTCGTTCCTTACTAAACTTATAAATGATGATGTCGATTCCCCTGTCCTCCTAAGTAAACTTAATTTCAGAGTTCCAAGTTTTTACTCCAGATACTCCTTCCTTTTCTAAATTCCTTTTAGCCGCTGTAACTATCTCAAAAATCATCCTATGACGAAACTAACCAATGAGGACCCACTATTCTTGAGTTCTTGGCACTAATTATTGTCTGTTCGCTCTAAATTTAAAAATTTTACACTTGTATTTTTATGTAACATTTTTCTTAGTTATTATGTTATTATGCCTGTTCGCTCTTTATCTTAATATTTTATATTTCTAGTTTTGTAATTTATGTAACTTTTTCCTAGCTATTATGCGTAATATTCTATGTAATTGGGCACGTCCCGTTTTTCAATAAATAAATAAATAGTACAAAATGAATACAATTCATACAAATATATTTAAAATAATAAAATCTAGACTTAAGGAAACCCTTTGCATACAAAGAACATTTATGTGATGGTTCATCTCTTTTCGAAATAGTGAAAATGATTAGGTTAGGTTAGGCTATATTATAACAGTCAAATAAATCAGAAATAAAAAAAGGACAAAAACAAGTGATAATTGGGGCGTCATTCATTTGGGCGAATAAGCCAAAATTTACCTGAGCAAAGCACATATTATTTGGGCGAGAAATTAACCCATCGTTTAGGCGAATTTATAAATTATTGAATAATAGGGAAGTAACATACCTACGTATACATTACTACAGCTAAATATTATTATATCGTTTCGGCTGATTGTTGAGACCAATTTACAAATACAGATAGTGAACGATAACATGTGGGTTTTCATGTTTTGAAAAATATGATAATAATAACATGCTCAACTAATCTTAAATTGTTATGCGATTCTGAATATGTATTTGGTGATGGGACTTTTTCTTACTCCCCAAAACATTTCGTTCAATTATAAACACTTCAGGTGTACAAGCAAAAGTTGTATGTACCCATCACATTTTGTTTTTTATCATCTAAAACTACTCAACAATATGAATTAATGTGGTATGAAATTATTCATTTACTTAGAACATTAGTAAATACTAAATTAAATATTAGTCAATTTTATTCAGATTTTGAAATTGCTGCTCATAAATCAATACTTAAATGCTTTCCAACATGCCAAATTATTTGCTATATCTTCCATCTTGCACAAAATTGGTTTAAGAAAATTCAGCAAAATACTGTTTTACATAATCATTACTTGAACAATAACTCAGAAATTGGTGATTGGCTGAAATGTTTCTTTGGTTTACCGCTATGACCATCAGATCAAATTTAACATGGATTTACAGAGTTGATGTCTATTTGTCCGACCGATATTTCTGATTTTTCAGTCTATGTTCTAAATAATTGTACTATAGAAGATGCCAAATTCTCACCTGCACTGTGGGCAAAAGAACTAACTGACGAACCTCGTACTACTAACGGGGCTGAATCATTTCACAGTAATTATAACTCGCAATTTTATCATCCACAACCTAATATTTATCAAGTAATTAATATTTTAAAAGAAATTCAAACGGAAACCTTACTAAAAATTAATCCTATCAACAAACAAAACATCAATATATTACGTAAAAATAAAATAGAAAAACAAGACTATACATTAAAATCATGGGAAGAATATCAAACCGGAAAATTTACAATAATCGATTATATTAAAAAAATGGGCATGAGATACCATACTAATAAAACAAATTAGTTAAGATTTTTAATACATTATTATGATAATTTTGACACTTTATCAAACAAATGGGCATATGAGATACCATGCTAATAAAAAAAAATCAGTTAAGGTAATAAATATTATATAATAAAACATATGACGATATGACAATACATTTTTAACCATACCAGTTAGAATTAACTGAGAGTCCTAAGTCTCTAAAAATGGGAAGGAAAACGTATTAGTCTAAATACATTTTTATAAATATATATTTATAGTTCGCCCAAACGATTTATTAGATAAATTAAAGGTCCGTGTAAATTTCGCCCGAATGATATGTATAAATTCGCCCAAACGATATGTTATTTTGGGTCATTCGCCCAAATGAAAGCCGCCCGATAATTGCACAGTTTCCGATGAGAACAATCTGTATTATGCAGTGTTTTTGATAATTGATAACCGCTATTATATGGGTGTCTCGGATTTCATTGTTTAAATTAACAAATCTCTATTGCAAGGCATGCGAAAACATAACTTAGGCCAGTGGTTCTCAAACTTTTTAGTACTGTGACCAAAATTTCGTTAATAATATAGTTAATATAATTAAAATGTACTTTTAATAACGAGGTACGTTAAATAAATAACTTAAACATAAATTTCTTGGAATCTATATTACCTATTAAAAAAAAATGTTTGAGACCCACCAAAAATTGATTGACGACCTTCCAGTGGGTCGTGAGTACTCGTGACCCACTCCTTGAAAAACTTTGACCTAGGTAGACTCTAGGTCCCTGTGTCTTGGAGATGAAACTCAGAACCTAATAATGCAATAATATGCAGGTAAGGAAATTTATATAAATACTACCTAATTGAAACCGTGGATTCACGTGAAGGTTCAAAGTGACTTGGTAGGTACCTTGGATTTTGGTCTTTTTTTCATAAAGTATAATAGCTAAGAAAAGGAATTTCATTTTATTTACAGTTAAAAAGCGTGACAAGAATAGGTACTTTAGTTCAGATTATTTTAATTATAGGTTTGCCTGGAAAACAATATACTCCGATGTATGGAAAGTATATTTAAGTTTTAACACTCATACATTTTTAATTGTAAACATCAGCGATAGCCGGTATTTATAATATGATAAAAAAATAAAAAATACTCTGTGGGTAATATTAATGTCTATTGTCTATAGATAGAGAGGTACTTACTCTTGCCTGACAGAACGGTTCAAGTTGTAGATCATCTGACATTCTTGTTTCAAAATCATTTATCTAAAATATAAATGCATTTATAAAATTTAATAATTAGATATAAAATATCATAATTTGAAATATTGTTTATACCTCATTTATAGCATCTATATCATAATAAGGATTTGCCATAAACTTGCTCTTTCTAAAAAGATTTGATAAATCTTCTCTAATAATGAAAAATAAATAATTTGAGGTAGATTAATTTTTAGGTTGGTAATCTTATCTGGTGTTTAAGTACCTTGGATAATTATCAACTTTGATGCAAAAAGTGTCATTCAATGAGCATTTCTCAATTGCTTTTATTTCAGGTATAAATTTGCTGATTGTAATTTTCTCATCAGTTGAACTTGGAAAAACAAATGATGAAGAGTTTGTCAAGTTGGCTGCTGGTAAAACTATAACTTTTGTATTTCCAATACTGGTTCCAGGATCATTTCTAAATATATATAATAATTTTAAAGATCAATGGATTTGAAATTAAATTTGGCCCATTTTTATACAAGTACTAGGTTTACTGTGTCTTCACTAGAAATAAAAATCTAAAATATTGTTCCGCACTTGTTCCATATTTGTATTTTTTTATGAACCCAATATTAGAAAATACCTACAACTCTACAAATAATATAACAACAAGGAAAACATTTACTTTTTACTTATATTGTTTGATTAAAAATGAATGCACACTGTGTGAGCTTGTCATAATCCATAGAAAAGTATATTTAAACTGATATTACAAACTATAATGTTTACTGTCGATTCAAAATATTGTCATAACCTACCTATATATTTTATTATAGGTAGTTAAATCTCAATAATTATTGGTGTTCTCAATAATATTGGGTGTAATATTGGATGTATAACGTTTTGATACATCTATATCAAGTAAAAATAATAACCCTAGATTGGCCCACCTGGTGCTTAAATTCTGGTGCCGTCACTGCAGTAGGCATATGACGTGGTAGGTACCTACTATTATTAACACAAATATTAAGCATAGTTAGGTACTTACGTAGGTACATGTGTGACACACTGGAATGATTCAGTATAACAGTATTTTAGATAATTTTATACATATATCATAAAGCAACGAAACCTAAATAGAAATTATCAGTTAACTTACTTTTGATCTTTTTTATAACTTGGAGTCGTGAATGTAGTTATATTATCTTGATTAACCAAATTTGTTCCTTTGGACTCATTCTTAGTAGAAGACAATACATATCCTTTCCATTCAGTATGATTGTGCAGTATAAAAAGGTGTTGTGCTATCGAATTAGGCCACTGAAACTATATAATTAAATGTAACTAAAAATAACACATTACACTTAGTACCTTACACTCGCTAAGACGCTCAGTATGGACAATTAAATGATCGGTGGAAACAATTTTAATTTAAAATTAAAATATATATTTATATACTAATTTAAAGTAGGTATATTAAGATGTAAGATGAGTCTCGTCTTGTGTTAGTACCAACAACCGAAAATAGTTATTTCTTAATAACAAGATTATATTTAGGTACAATTTCTGAAATTGTTGTTACGAGTTGGTACTAATTAGTAATTGTAGTCAAATTAATGGTCGAAAAAAAAAATTTGCTCATTGGGGTGCCAGGGTAACCCACATCATTCGTATGATTTTCTAATTCAATATATTATTCAAATGTTCCGAATTTAGACGAATTTTGAAAGATTCTAACTATAAACATTCATATCTAAAAACTTAAAATGAATTTAAGCACAAATTTTTTTTTATATTATACTAATAATAGAACATTGATGATTAACCTTATATTTTGAAGGAATATAATTGATTTTGTCGAAAACTTGTTTTGCTTGAAATGTCCAGGTTTTCCTTAATTTCTTTTTTGTTTTTCCCAAAGCTTTTTAAAACTACTGGGTAATTTAGTTCCAAACCTGAGTTTTAGTTTGGTATCGTTTGCTTAAATATTAGAGTGATTTGACTAATTTTTAAACTAAAAACTTTGAGCACTATCTAACTTTCTTGTTGGATTTTAAAATATTTTAATTATTAAGTGAATTTTCAGCATTTTTAAGTATTAATATCTTTACATACTCATAATCAGGGGTGACTTTTGGCCCGGGAAAATATAAAAGTATACTGAACTAATTTACGAAATTTGTATTGAATTTCAGCCAACATATGTATATTATTATATTTTAACACACCTAACCATAATTCTTTTACAGATTTGACAAAATATGCACTTTATAAAATTGTATTAGTATTATACATTGATATCAAAACGTATTTTTATTTTTTATCAGCTTAGTCCTGCAGTATCTATATAATATAATACAATAAAAGTGAATAATTTGAATTATTACTGTCAAGATTTTTATATTTAAAAAGGAAACTTATTTAATAACAATAAGCTTTTAGACTTGAGTATTTTAATAATTTCATCATCATATATTTTGTATCGAAAGCATGAATCCTCTAATAGTCTAATTTACCATAATGAACAAAATCAACAACAATACGTATATTTTTTTATTTTATAAACAGCCAGAAAAATGAAAATGTTTTTTCCTACTAAGTACTCACCAAATTATTGTTTACTTTATACTCGTATTTTGTGTAAGATATTTTAGTATCATACTATCACAGTCATCTATGGCATAAACGTGCACAGACTCGAGCTTCAGAGGCTGACCCTTCACGCTGAATGAGAATGAGATTAATCTAGTCTATTTTCCAATGGTATGTTTGAAAAATAGGATCGAAATAAGTCTATGTTACGGGACGCTTTTTGATGTGAAATCGTATCCTGCAGTAGTCGCGCTAATATCGACAACTAAGTTACAACTAAATTGTTGTACGTTTTGAACAGCAAATTTCCGTAATTTTTTTCAAACACTTTTGAATTCAGCGTACTAAAACACGAATTTTGGATAAAAAAAAAGTTGAAAAAATGGATTTTGGTTAAGAAGAGTTGTTCCACAATTTTTATAATTGATATAGAAAAAGCTTTAAAATCAATAACTTTATTATTTAGATAAAAAATTAGTTTATTTTTTATCATTTTTTTGACATAAAATACTATTTAAAAAAAGTTGTTTGGAGAATTAAACCAATCCACCCCTGCTCATGACTAACTTAAAAACTAAAATTCCTTAAAAATCCAACGATAAAACTAAGATAGTGATCTAAGCTTTAAGTATGATTGAATTTCAAACTACTCTAATATTTAACCTGAACATACAACATTGTAACTGCATGAATGTACATTTTGGGAACTTATGCGTAAGTAAGACAAAGATACCACATGTGGTTACGAAGTCCTATAATAAGCAATTTAATATTTGCAAAATCAAAATTAGTTCTTTCAATTAATATTTTATTGAAATGAATTTTTATTTAGAAAAGATTCATGGAAGTGGTTACAAACTGCAAAAATTATTTAAGTCCGGATATTATTAACTATATAATTACAAAATGATAATTAGTACCCATCTACAATATTATTGAAATAAAACTGCACAAGAAAAATAAAAAATATTGTTCGAATGAGGTTTTGTAATTATACATTAATAATTTTGTATTATTATAAAATCAATGAAAATGTTTAACATATTTTTTTATGATATGAAAAAAAAACAATGGCATGCAATGGCAGATTACAGATGCTCTCGCATCATTGCCCATATTTTATGCAACAAAAACAATTAAATAAGTTGCAAAGGTACAAATATCACAATAAATAATATCTGTATAATACAATGGCCCATAAAAATGAAAAATCACAGTTAAGACTTTAATCCTATTAAAGGTGAATCAAATATATTTACATTATGAAAATAATATGCAAACCCCAACTGACACTGTAACCGTTATAACAATGAAACTAGTAAATAAATATGATTCATATAAAAAATTGCATTACCGTACTAATGAGAGACAGTAAAAAAAACATCAGCCATGGCAATTCGGTCATTTTGACAGGATATATATACATAAATATATGTATCAAAACAAAACAAATATGCAAGGAAAGTTATAGCTTATACGTATAAACAATTATTAATCGATATATCGAAATAGTTGAATAATAATATTATGTTTTGTTGTTTACACACAAACACACAACTAGTCTGCTCGACCACTTTTTGAGTACTGAGGGGTGCTAGCGCAGTGAACCTGGAAACTATGATGTGGGACATTGGTGGAAGCGTTCGTTATAAAAGTAGTGGGTACTGGGCAGTGGTTAGTTTACACAAACAATTTATTACACCGGTATGTATTTATCTGACGTCAGTATGTCACTGTTAATTATCAAATCAATTATTTAATATTTTTAAAACATGTATAACAATTATGATCATTAGAGTACGTATAATACCTATAGATACACATATAGATAGTATTAAAATGTCTTATGTTTATGAAAATAAATTAAAATGTATTTGAATAAAAATAGAGCAAAGCATTATTGTACGGGTTTATGGTTAGTAAAGGACATGGGAGAAAAATACGTAAGACATGGTTTGTACACGAATGTCGAAAATTCGTTTGAATATTGTCCTCCTAAGTACTAAATTTTTTCAAAGCTATTTCAATATGTGAAGTAAGTAAAATAAAATTATTTTTGATTGTTAGTAAAATTGATAGTTATAAATTTAAATTACGTTAACTATTTTAATTTCTACAAGAAACCATGAACACAAAATATTATATTCAATTTGTCTAGATCACATTTACATTGTTTTCTTAAGTAAAAAAAAAATTGAAAATTAAAAACCATATGAATTAACTTATTGCACCGACCTTATACTGGAAGTGTGTCTTTTCAAAAGAACCTTTAGCTGTCCAACAAGTCGTTCGCTTCAATTATAAAAATACAATTTTTATTTTAGATTTTAAGCGGAGCAATGCATGTAATTCGCTATATAGTAAACACCTAAATACTAAGTAAAAATTATTCAGTCTAAACTCTAAATAATAATACTATATATAATATGCTCAAAAACGAATAAACCAAATTTGTAAAAATTTCTAAGTGTTTTTAAAGATTTCAAAAAAGTTTAGAGAGTAGTTTCTCACAGCTGACCTACTGCTAAAAATTGATGGTGGTTTATCCGAAGTAAATAGACTTAAAAAATAAAGGACCTTTTTCAAAAGTTATATCAAAAGATTCCTTGAGCCTTGGGTCAGCTCTCGAAGCGGTCAGGTACTGTGAGCCTAGGGTGACTGACAACCAATTGGCTCAAAAAAAAAAAATATATAAAATAAAATCTGATTAGTCAATAGATATTATTAATGTTGAGAGGGCATGTTCCCACCATATAAGTGTATATTGTTGTTATATTCCAAATTTCAATAAACGAATAAATGATGGGCCAAGCTTTTTGTAAACAATTCAGTTCCCACGTAGCGGTGAAAACACCAGGTATATCTGGCTTATACATATAATTTTGGATATGACGATGACGTGGCTACCAAAGTATCAATAAACAATGTAATGGGTAATTAAAGGTCCATGAATAAACACGTAATTACAATTCAGATATATAGATAGATACTGTAGGTATATCGGCGAACCTATCCAATAAATAATTCTATATAGGTAATAATATATTTAACACAAACATGTTTAATGCATCTGTAAAGTAACATGTGTTTATGTATTGTTTTTGACTAACGGTATTTTACAATTCATCGAAAATTGCGCATTAATAAGGAAATAAATTATTTTTCATAACAAATAATTTTGCCCTATATTAGATACATAATGCAGTTTATAAAGGTAAGTGAATCCAATTTTTTTAAAGACACTTAACAATTCATAAATTATAAAAGAGGTACTTATATCTACCTACATAATATTATAATAAACAACAACAGGTATTTTATACTAATATAATTAATAATAATGAATAACATTACCCGTCAGGCGCGGATCCAAGAGGGGAGGGACAAAAGAGGCACATGTCCCCCCCTTAAATACATTAAAATATGTTTGTATTATGTATAATATGTATATAACATAATATATGGTATCCAATTTTCTCTTTTATATATTCCTGGAGGACAAGTGGCTAATATACTTTTTATTGCTTTTACGTGTTATGTATTTATACGTCAACCACAATACCAGCAAATCTGTACAACTTCATTCTTTATTTTGTTAGTCATGTACTATTTTTACTATTATATTATTTTAATATGTAAATTTAATTCATGTTTCTTCAGATCCTCTTTATATCTTTTTTATTTATAATGTGTTCTTACATTTTTCAATTTATGATTGAAAATTTAAGTTTATATTATTAAATCAATATTTTTAAACTGAATTTACTTTAGGTACCTACAACATACCTATACCTACATAACAACAGTTATTAGATGGAATTTATAATACCATTGATTATAAATACGCAAATGTAGTAAGAATATCTTTGTATCAAAAGAAAACTCTTGTTTCATGAAAAAAACTGATTTATTACCTAGTAATTTATATTTTCTATATTTATGCATCAGATTAAAAACCGAGTACAGTACGCCGGTACCAACCAGACTAACATACTTAAAACTAGCATTACTAATACCCTTAACTAATAATATTTGGACACACCTAAATTATTAAAAATGAACAGTTAGTTTTGTAAGTTTTTAAAGTTTCTTTAAGACATGAAATATTATCAATTGTCTTTCCAATATTTTAATATATTATCTACCTAATCTACAGATATAAGTGTAATGTTATTGTTTTTATTATTTCAAACACAGAGTTTTGAAAATATTCAACGGCCTATCACTCATACAACTAAATTACTTATTAAATATTATGGCTTCAGTGCAGACAAATCATCTGATTGTCCCAGAGATTGTTCACCTTACCGTGGCTCCAGTCCTGACAATGAATCTGTTTGTGCAGAACATTGTTTACCCGGTAAGTTAATAAAATGCATATTATAGCCATATTTAACTATGCTGGACATTGATTTCATTATGTATAATGTAATTTTTGATTCAATTTTAGGTGTACATTTTTTTCATATAAATGATTTTAATAATTTTCAATACATAGATAATTCAATTAGATGTTATCTTTATCTCTAGAGTGTCCTCAGGTGAATAAAGAACCGAACGAATATCAAGCTTTAAACGAGATGTGTCAAGATAAATGTAGTGGATATAACAAGTATTCGTTTCATGACTTTTTGATTCAGGCTGTTTGCTACATAGAAGCGCAGCCTTCTAATAAGGAGTACTTCGAACCAAAAGGATCACTTAATAAGCAAATCAAAATGGAAAATAAAACAAAATAATTAAGTTATGATATAAGCTATACTTATTAACAATTTGATTGTCTATAATATGTATAAATGTCAATATACTTTTAAATTATACATGTATGAATTTTAGAATAAATGAACAGTGATGTAGATATGGGCGGACAGGTCCATCGGGAACCTAATCTGGATTTTCACAGTAGGCAACCATCAATAGTATACTCAAAGGAACCATCCCGAAAAATTAAAAATAATTTTTGAAATACTTACCTACTGTGGTATTATAAATCCGGCAGTACAGTTTTAATGCGTATTCGTCATATCTGTATACTCCATTGTCTCCATTAGATGCCTTTTGCCTTTAATGCATTAATACCAAACAATGCATTGATAGCATCTTATAAAGTTGCTCATAGAATCGATAAATATTAGAACTAAGAATCCCTATACCAGAGATGACGAACCTATGACACGCCTATCACAACGTGACACGAGTACACTATTTTAGTGACACAAGCAACTGCGAAAAGTTTGTCATCAAAAATCACTGGTCGTAGGACGTAGACTAAAATATATTGAGATTACAAAAATCATACACACACGCATCAACCAATTACAGTCCAAAGATTGATTCACTAGCCAATAAAATTCAGCAAATAATTTCTCATTAAAAATGCATGTATAACAATTGTATATTTTAACATTTCAATATTTTTCATTTTTTATGAATTAAATTTTTTTTACTTACTTACGTGTTGCTTATGCTTTTGATATCTAATATATTTAAATTGTTTGATAATGTAATATTTGACTTGTTTTTATCATTCAAACCGTAGATGTAGGAATTTTTAAGTTTGAAAAGGGGTTATCAAACTAGTTGACACGTAAGGAAAATAAAATCCAACCAAAATTTTCATTTACACTGATACAAAAAAGTTCGCCATCCCTACCCTATACAATTGCAGAAGAGCTTATCCAGCTGCTTTAGATATGGTGAATCTGTTGGGAAATTACTTTGCTGACTAACTAAAATTGAGTCACTAAATAAAAATGTATAACTTATGCGTAAGTATAATGAAATAAATATTTTCATAATATCTATAAAAAATTTGTCTAGTTTCAATTTATTATGATGAGTCGTACAATGACTTAGGCAAAGGCATTCTATATAACCCTTATTAAAAAAAGGAGCAGCGAGCCAAAAAAAGTTTGGGAACAGATGAGTAATATCTAATGCCGAAAGAAATTGAACTTCAAACGCTCATAAACATATACTTAACTTTCTGGTATTCTTTTTTTTTTGGTTTAGATGTAGGAAAGTTATAGAGAATCTTGTATTACATTTTAAAACCTCTGATATAAATAGATAACATTTCATAAGTGAATATTTTTTTTAATCAATAATAGCTTAAAAAATCTAGTAGAAATCAAAAATTGTCTCATGCCTATAAGTAGCTCAAAAAGAAACAAAATATTTTGAACATTGTATGGTTTATAAAAAATTCTAATATAAACATTAGGTAAATATGTAATGTATCTACTTTTGTTTTTTTTTAGAGTTGCACCAAAAATCAAAATTGATCTTGTCAAAAACTGATTTTGCGTCATAATTTCAGTTTTTCTTTTGTTTATTTTTTTACGCTTTTAAAATATAGGAAAATTCATTTATTGGAATTTTTATTACCCTTAAACGTGATAATGCATAAAAAACATACATTATTGTGAAATCAATACATTAACATCTAGGCATCTAGCTCAGAATCTAAAACACCCCTAACTTACAATAAATTCGGTATAAATTAATTTCTGCACTAGTAATTTAAACACCCAGGGACATTAACTGCAAGCCTTGTATGCTTAGGAGTTTGCAAAATATAAATCTAAATTGGTCAAGAATAAATTTAATTTTTATTCCATCCTATGTTCTGTTCCATACTTGTATGAGTTTTTCGGTCAGCTTCAGCAAAGTTAAATGATCTTAACCATGCAATATCATAAATACCTCATGGCCTACAATGACTATATCCTTCCAAGTGTATCAACAGTTATTTAATAATTAATATTTAATAAAATAATATTGCATGGTTAATTTATTATTATGTTGTAAAAATAATAAATTACAAAAATTCATTTTAGAAATGTATATTTTGTTTGTAGTCAAATATTCCTACAATAAAGAATGGGAACAATAATTATATTCAAAAATATTAATATAAACAAACATAATGTATTAATGTTTTTACAGCAATAAACATTGTTGTAAAACATAACAACCCAATAAAGTGGTTGTACACAATTTTTATCTTTTTCTCTTCAGTTTGATAACGCACTTAGGGCAATACCACTTTCCATGCGGTGGTTTTGTTATACCAACACATTCATAATGAAACCACTCATGTGGACACTAGAAAAAGAAATAGAAATTATTTTAAATGAGAAACATCGTTAAAAATTACCAAAGGTAATATATTAATTTTAATTTTGGTAGAATTTTTTTTTATAATTATGCCTACTTTTTTATTATCACAAGCCACCATTGTTCCATAAGCTATTTGATTACATAAACAGTATAGAGGTTCACTAGGATCAATTGATTCATCTTCATCAGTTGATATGTCTTTACAAGCAATTCCTCTTCGAAGTCTACAATTTTTCAAAAAGTTAATATAATTATAACCATCAAAGATATAGGTGTCGATATTACTCAATTTACTTTTTATTTTTTTTTGTTTGGTTACTATTAGATTTAATAAATTCTGAAATGTCTTTATTATTGGAAAATGATTTTGATAACTTTGATTTGTCTGTAATTTGGTCATAATTAGTTGCATCAAAAGATGCAATTAAACTAGCTGACCTACGTCCACAAGACAGCTGAAACAAATACAATAATTTAAATTTAAAAGTATGACAGACAAACTTATCTTTGGAAAATGTTTTTAATTCACTTACCATAGTGAGTATAGCAATGATAGAAAATACAATTTTAAGAAGAATTAAAAAGTCCTTGTGTAAGAGTTTGCAGTCTAACATTTTAATTAAAATAATATGAATATTTTATAATTCCAATTTTAAGACTTAATATTTAAAACCAATACTAAAAATTACAATACACTTTAATTATGACAACCACAGTAGTTACCTCAATATCTAATTTTTTTTTTTTATATAGGTTATTCGTTCAAAATTTTAATTTAGTGTAACATAGATATACGCACAGGAAAAACTATATTTAATTAACATTTAAGATACATTAAAAAAAAAATAGGAAAATTTCCAGGTTGTGTTCCGTTCCTCAATAATACTAATAACGCATTTTATATTTTCTAAGGATCTAAAATATATTTTTAACTAAATATCTGTTTTTAATGCTTTGGAAAATATGAAAAAGTTATGAATTATAAGACATTTTAAAATGTTGTAAAAATAATAACTATCAACAAGATTTGATAGTTAAATCCTCAACTAAATTAGACTAGTTGTTAATAAATGAAAAATAAAATAGATTACAATTATTTAATATTTTAAACCGCCTCTCACTATGCTAAGAATAAATAGTAAAAATTTCTCTAGAGACATTTTTAATAATACCTTTTGAGAAGAAACAATAGCTTCAGATACAACTGCTGAAATTGCTGAGCAATCAGCCCCCTTAGTGAAGGATAGCGGAAATGGAGCCTTTTGAGAATTAACAGGATTTGTATCAGGTTGAAAATATGATACTAATTCTTCACTACTAGATGCATCTGAAGCTACTTCAATAGATGTTTGATTGATACTGCTAACATTATTTAAGACTTCTTCTGTTTCTACAACAACAGAATAAAAGATAATGTTTATTTAATACAGTTCTCTTTTAAGTAAAGAAATATTCTAAAAATAACACAGAAGGAATACCAGATAAGTTTATATCAGTTTATTTACATATCTAATTATTGTATTTTAGTAATAATTATTTTATATTTTCTAAAATACTAAATTTGAATATAAAACACACAAAAAATGAATACCAACCTAAACAAGAATTTAAGTAATATATTTAAAAAGTGATGATTTTTAAAGAAATATAATTAGGTATTTAGGTATGATTAATGCCTGAAAAAGTGTTATAATAAATTAAACAAAAAAACATTTAAAGGACCTAGTTAAATAAAATAAATTATTTGTAGTAATTAATTGTGTACTTATTAATGTATAAGTACAAGTATATTTACATTAAATATCCTGGAAGGTGTAGTGTAATATTTAAATTTAGAGAAAAAATTGTAATAGAAGTATCTATAAAAAAAAAACCAATTTAAAATTGGTAATCTATACATGTTTAAAATGAGTTAATTTATATTTTATGTGATTTTAAGATATATAATGAGAAATTTAAAAAAATATTTACTAGAAAGCTTTATATTGATTTTAATAATATGTATTCAGTATCATTATGGCATCAATAGATCAAGCAAAACTTTTGAAATAAGATAGAGCAGCATAATACCAGTTAGACTTAGATGTATATGATTTTTTTAAAATAAATCAAATACTTGTGTTTTTTTCATCATATATCATTTGATTTTAAGAATATTACCTTTAAACAAAAAATTACAAACATTTCAATAGGTACTGCAACTTTTTTGATAATAATATAAGTACATAACCTAACTATATTTAAAAAAATATTATTTCCCTTAATTTAAGATTATATTTTGTTCATTTTCATATCTATTAGACACTTAATAAGTAATACTGTTAATTAAATTAAGTTTTTTTAATAGTATTACACAGACTAGAAAAAAATAATTAAACAACAACACTACACATAATAACCATAATTTTCATAATAGCATAAAAATACTTATCCACATTACAATAGTTGATTCCAATAAAATCACACAATTATTTAGTGTGACTTGTTTACTTCATATTTTTTTATTGTTAATGATTATCTACTGAATAAAAATAAGATATAAAACTACATTGGTAAACATTTATACAACTAACTTAAGCAAAATATCACAAATGCATTAGATTACAAATTTTGTAATGAATAAAGCAAAATAATAATATACATAAAATTGTATTCAATTTATAAATAAATAAAACATTGTCATAAATATGTTGTTTTTAAAATTCCAAATTTGTACACGATAATTGATAAAAAAAAAATATAAAAAGATTAAATCGTTAAATACAGGAACTGGCAGAAACATAAATGGTACATAGCTTGACTTCAAATGCGTAAACTACCTACCTCCAAAAATATGTCTGTTTGCTTCATACTCATTTTCTTTATGAATGGATGTATTGTTTTGATCTGAATCTAAAATTCCTAAGAATAAAAAAAAAACTAGTTTATTTAGGTAAATAATATAAATCATATTTGTTCAAAATTAATTTATTACAAATTACAGTAAAATGTATATTAATTAATTAAACCATTACTTTTTTCAATAAGATCAGTGATTCCACTTTTATCAGCTTCCAGTTCAGTTTTAAATCCTTGTAACTCAAGATCCAATCGATTTATATATTTTGACACGAGTTTTTCCATGTCCTTGGCTATTTGAAGTTTTGAATCTAAAAAAAAACATTTTTTAGAATAAAATAATCAAAATACATCATTTAAAAAAGTTTACCAGATCGTTTAAGAGCTTTGTCACCTTCTTTCATAAGTGTCTTAAAATTATTTTGTAAATCATCTGGAGTCATAGTATCAGCTTTTGAAAATAAAGTATCTACATTACTCTTTATACAGTTCATTGAATCTGAAATCAAGTACATAATATAATGATTAAGTTGCCAAAGTCTACTAGTTAATGTTCACTGAAATTTTGTTGTTTTTTTTTTAATAAAACTTTACTTTTATATTAATAATATATCATTTGGATTTTAAATCCAGGTTAACAATAACCTATGGCATAAAAAACTATTGTATACATTCAATGGTATGTGGTGTAGTCATTATACATTTAAGACAAAGTATGTGGGCTTATACCAAATTCACTACAATTTAAATGTAAAGACTAAAAAAATTTGTAGATATTAGATACCTGAAAATTGTATGCACAAAAAATATTATACTCTGTATTTTGCTTGTTGTATTACATAAATAATAATAAATTCATAATGTACAAAATTACCAATGATTCAACATTACCCTTAATTCTAATTCTAACAAATCACTGTACCTAAATTAATAAATAAATTAAAGAAACAATAAAACAAAATGTAGGAACTAAATTAATAATCAACCAGATATTGTATATTATTAATATTAGATGAAAAATAGGTACTCTGATTTATATGTACGTAGGTACCTAATAAGAGTGAACCACTGTAGTTTAATGTCTCTATAATACAACTAATATTAAAATTAATTAATAAAAACATACTGCCCAGTAGCCACTAATTATTGATAACACCAGTTACACCAATATTTTACATTCAACTCAGTATATAAAAACAGCATACTGTTTGGTAAGCATTATTATATGTGTAAAATACTAGGTACATTATGAATGAATTAGAAAAAAAAAATTTATTTCCATAGTACCTATATTGGTATCCACTTATTTTTATATATTATAAAGGTAGTTGCTACTATTTTATTGAAGTAATTTTAACAAACTATACAAATTTGAATTTTTCAAACTATCAAAAACAATTAACTATTACTTAATAATATGTAATGATAAACATGTATATTTTATTTCATCACACCTCTCATGAGATATAACTTCAATTTTTTTTATTTTGATAGCATCGCGGTAGCATGTTCACCGCTAGATGATACAAGACAAATAACAATTGATAATAGTAAAAACCAAAAATATAATGATGATTTAACTAAGAAATTTATGTTCTACCTATGTATAAACATTCATATTCATTTGGTTTGAGTTTTTTACTATCCAACAAGTAGAATGTGTACTTTTTTTACTCACAAATTGCATAGAAAAGCTTTTACAGCAGTAAAGTACAATAAGTTAATATTCTACATATAGGCATTGAAAATTACACTTTTGGTGTGAGTGTGACAAAAAAATACAACCCAGTACTGCAGTGAAGTATAATTTATAAGTTTTATTATTAACAGTGAAAGCTGAAACTAAAATCTCCTTTAATTTAATAATTTGTCAATGAAAGCCAAATAAATTGTTGAATAAATAATGATATAGTAATTTATTACATACTTTCTACTTGCAAGTCCAGTTTCCCGATTTCTGCTGTGCGATTTCTGATCTCTTGCGGTAAAAGTTCAAGTTCTTGAACAAAAAATTATTACGTTGTACAATCTCGTTATCGATTTAAAGCCAAGAACTTACTTTCCATAAAATCTTCCAAATAGAACATGGTCATAATAAAATTAAGGTCACGAGAAATAACTACGAAGCGTTGCTACTCGGTTGCAGCTGATATTAGGTATTATTCAATTTGAAGTTGACGAAAAAAAAATGAGATTATTTTTTGTATTATTAAAACGGTGAACGGACTGAAGCAAAAAACGTGATTCCACTGGTACTGAAGTGATACTACTATAACACTATTTAAGTGATAGGTTGTTGTAAAATATGCTAAATACTGATAGATAATGCCCACAAATTCGTAATAATAATATGAACGCGCCAGTAAGTGAATATAATCGAAAACCGTTTTCGCATGCCGGAAAATTATTGTCATTTATGCATTTATAGTGTCTACTGCTTCATATAATATAATAATGAACTCAGGTATCGATTAAGTAAATCACCTACCTACTTGTATTATCGTTATTCGTGAACTTTGGTTAGTCAGCAGGCAGCCACTTTTAATTATTATCGAATAATTGCCCTTATCATTGGACCGCCAACATAATTAAAATTGAAAATTAATACAATATATTGTACATCGTTTCAATGCAATATAATTGTTTACATGATGACATAATGTACAATTATTATTCGTTGTTTTTACGAGTGTTGCAATAATTTGTATTATTAAATATAAGGACTCTTAGGGACTCTATGCATTATGTTTCATTAATCCGACTATTGTTTGCACGAATGTGTCAAGTTCCTGCCTAGGTGTACTCTTAAAAAAAGTGTGTTTTAAAAATTTCTATTTTAAAAAATTATTGTGCCGTATAAAAATTTCTATTATGGGTTTCCACAAGGGTTAGCCTATAAGTGGTCAGTTAAATGATATGTTATGTGGCCATAATTACTTAAATAAATTAAGACGATTAATTTTCTTTAAATAAAAATGTAAAGTAATAAATAATAATCATTTAAAAATCGTACACTGGACCTCTCTCATTTTTTAAATAAAATGTCTTGGTTTAGAAAATAATTTTAAATATTACAAAAGATACATACTATTAGGTACAGATAATGACGTACCTAATACAGACTTGATAGGTGTATTAATTACATTAATTAACTAAACCTTAGGATTATGTAGGCGTATTGCCATTCAAAGTCTGACAGGAAAATGAGCTATTTTTGTTAAATTTGTCTAACTGTAAAAATTGTTGTGATTTTTCTATACATATTTAAATATAGTTATACCTATATACATAGGCAAGGGTTTTATTGAACTTCAGCTGTGAGAGGGGTACGTGTTAACTTTCAAGCTAAGCTTATGCCTATCGATATAGTAATTGCATGTGCAGTAAACCTTGACGTTCATTGTCCAATAAAATTAACGCGTTCATAAGATTGTTCAAATTTTGTCCTCGAATTTTACATTTTAGTTTTAGTTTTAGCATTTGAGACACTTCAATATCTGTTATTTTTTTTTTCAATGAGCCAACCAGTTTTCATTGAAATACATAAACAATAATACTATCTAGTATCTATCTGTAAAATACGTGTAAAATACTGTGGTAGGTAGGTATTAATGAATTGTGAATTGAAATAGGAATAGTATTAATTATTATTTTCAGATATGAATCATATTGACAGTAATATTTTTATGATTTTCTTATTTTCATTTTCAAATGAACGTTAGAAATGAACCAAAGAAAGTTGTTCATGTCAGTGTAATAATTTAACGCATTCTTTCCAAATACTGGGTATGTGTAGCCAACATTTGTCATGAATGTTTATGAGAGTCGTTACAGCCCCTTACTTAATCGTTCACATTTTATATACCTCCATACTTATCTACAATGGCATATACAATATTAGACATGATAAATTATATGCTTTTTATTATCTTCTCGAAGTACAAATAAAAATAAGAAGTAAAATAAAATATAAATTATAATATCTATATAATTTATGTATGTAGATTATAAACATCGTACACTTTAATTCAAATTCTCATAATCTAATGTTTATGTAGACAGATAGTCGTTTCGTTTCTAAAGAGTGTGAGGTGAATACTGCTGCAGTCCACAACGTCTGTCATCTATAAAATGAAACTTGACCTATAAATTATAATATACTAGGTACCTACGGTTTACCTACCTACGGATCACAATAAATACTGAAAGATAATATAAAACCGTATTATTAACATATATGGCTTCGATCATCAACTATTCCGTACAGGTGTCAGGTACCTATTTTAATATCTTGTAATCATCACAGTATATTTTACCTATTATATTATAGGATGTACCTATGTAGAGAATAGACTAATTACTATAGTATTATATATAGGTACAATGATATTGATTGAAATGATAGACCCGCATTCGCCTAATACTTTTTAGAAAAGTATAAATGTATAATATGGGTAAGTATATTCATAGGTTATAAACGTAGGTGTAATGTGTAAAGGTTAACTTACCTACCTACCTATTGGCTATTACCTAATGAGTAATGGCTTATGGGTTATAACTAATAAGTCATAACTTATGAGGTGTGACTAATGTAAAATACGTGGGTAGGTATGGATGTGTATACAATGAGTTCATTACAATAACCTTATACCGTACCTACTTTCAAGCTGGATTACGAGGAAGAACAATGACATAATATAGGTATAGATATGAGTAATAATATTATGTATAGCCTTAATTCAATTATTTGTATACAGGGTTGATGCATACCGATACTTACCTTACTCCTACTAACATTTATTTTTTCATTATTTTATTAGTTTGGTCTGAGTAATTGAGTACCAATTGTGAAAAATACACAAAATATAATGTTCAATTTCGGTTTTGGGATTTCCGATTGTTTTTTAGGTTGGAAATAACATAATATACAAATAACCTAATAATGAAACAACATTTGTTTCAACATACAACTGTTATCAAAGATAATATAACATATTAAAGTAGAATCTATGATTGCTTAATTTTTCTATCAAATTTTATTTTTGTCCGAAATCATAGTATTTATAAACGACAACTGATGGTTTTCACTACATCCGGCATAGAAAACATGACACTATTTACCGATTATTTAGTAGATGTAGGTATATACATAAGCTTTAACCACTAATCTTGAGAGTCATTTCATTCTCACTTTAATTCTAATTTTTATACAACTCATCCTAATATTTTCATGTTTATAGAAAAATTGAAAGAAATTAAATAGACACACGTATATTAAACTAAATAGTTTAACTTATAAATGAACCCTTTAAATTAAATACCGAAATTCTAACACAAAATACAAAATTTAATTAATAAATATAATATAAAACTATAATTGATGAGTATGTATCAACAATATGTTTTTATTTGTCCTAATATTGCACTTTTTAAAATTATATGTTTTTTTTTACTTTCAATTTTATTCTTTTAACTATTCATATTATATGGCTGTAATGAACTAAGTATAAATTAAAGATTTTAATTTAAAATTAATTAGTATTTTCAACTTATATTTTAAGCTAATATATATTTTACACATAATCTTTTATTGTTTATTTCTTATTATTTAACCATTTATTTTACTTTCTATAAATAAAATTATTTATCTAATTGGTTTGCTGGGTACTCTAAAAATGTATACGATATGTATTTAGACAAGAAGAATCAAAAAAACTTTTATGTTTAAAGTCTAATCAAGATCCGCAAGTGAGCTAGACATTTTTTCAGCTAACTAATCAGGAGGAAATGTAGAATCTTAGTTTATGTAGGTTTATGTATCCATTAAATATTTTTAAGACACTGTAATTTTATGTTCTAACCTAACCTTTATTTCAAAATAAGAAAAGGACGCAATTAATGTACCCAAACGTATTACCCTATTGAATTTTAGGTATATTATTGAATTTTGTGCCCAAACGTTCCTTGCACTCACTTAAATATTCTTATTTTCAATAATTTATGTAGAAAACGCACTCGAATGTAAATTAAAATGTGTAAGTGAAACATATTTTAATGTACACAATTATTAAAAAAATTTTATTTAAATGTCATTCTCTAAATATTTTATAAGCTATTTTTAAACTTAAAATCTACTATTTTACTAGGTACGTGCTATTAAATCCACAATCGCACGTTTATACTTTAAACAATTATGATCACTTAAGTTCGGATTTATAGGTATTTATATAACCAAAGTATGTATTTATACAACAAAACTATGTAAATAAAAAGTAAGAAGTTCAAAATATATATTATCAACTAACAAAAAGAAAAAATACCTAGTACAGCCATATAGGTAATAAAATGTGATAAAAAAATGATAATTTATCTAAATATCTTGATTGCAATTTATAGCAACATTTATTTTCAAATTTTTAAAATCAAATGTATTCCGATTCTGTCTTAAAATTGATTAATACCATTCGAGTATTTATACGTATAAAGTCACGTCAAATATACATTAGGTCGACACCCTCCTAATCGACGATATTATACTACACAAGTCGTAAACTATTTAGTTTTGGCTCACTTAAATGATAAGCTTTCGATCCACAATCAATCTGAACTTTGAAGGATACACATTAAAATAGTAAAATTGTCTAAATGTGAGAAAAAAATTGTACATTTGTGAATCCTAATGATCACCAACGCCAACCCCCTACAAGTACACCAATCGAATTTTGTTTTCAAATTTTTAAAATACGTGTGAAGCACAAACGTAGACAATTTTATCTAACTACTTATGAAATTGTGCAAAATACTTGTGCACGTGTCTTGTCTGTATAGGAGTGGGTGGTGCCATATACATAGGCAGTAGACAACACATTATTGTAAATTAATTTTATTATTTCTGCCATAAACAATGTGTTTTGTCGTTCGAAAGAAACACGTTTTAAAATATTTAGATAATAACGGTGGAATATTAAGTGCTCAATAATCTACCGAGCACGTATAGTCCATTAGGTAGGTACTTTATGCGTTTCAATGTAAATACTTACCCTAACCCTTTATATTTTTCCATTAAGTGTGTTTTAATTTTTATCCTTATTCTTGTACAATACATAATATATATATATATATTATAGGTACATTGTATAGCACCTATATAGGTAGGACGTAGGTACTACTGTCGTCTGTTGGGATGAATTATCGTTCCGCCTCAATGAACTGTTCGGTACGAAGGTCAGCCGGTTCATACGGTAATGTAATTTACGGAATGCAAGGCCGTGAGGGTGTGTCTGTTAATTTGTTAAATATATAGAGAAGATGCTGTGCGCTTGTACAGATAAGTTGGACATCTTACAAATTTGTAGATAGAACAGATTATTATTTATTAAAACTGAGGACACTTTTCTACGTTTGGATATTTTTTCATGATAGGATCATCGATCATGTTTTAAATTTCAACCATTCTTATCTATACAGTCTTAGACAATAAGTATTTTAGGTATTTAAATATTAACTCTCTTAAACCATCTTTTGAA